GTGCATTTTTTCCTGTTTCAGAAAAGATGCGATCCAGGATGGGTAACATCTCCCCAGCTCTTCTTTTTTTTTCTCAATTAACTCAGTTGTTTCCAATGAAAGTGTTGCAGCTCTCATGTCTTTTGTGTTGTCTTGTCTCTTTTCTAAGTAAAATTTTACTTATTTCAAACACATCCCAAACATTAACAGCTAAGTACAGTGGACTAACCCTGCCAGGCTGCCACCAGAAAGCTGAAGTTGCTCGGGCATCCCAAGGAACCTGGCATTTACTGTGAGACTCCCGAGGACCCTGATGGCATCCATAAGTTTCTGTGATGTAATCTATTGAACTGGCACTTTTACCAATTTGGGGCTGCAGGGAATGTTATGTCAAACGTTTTCCCATCTCTGCATATCACCTCGTGAAGCTTAGGGATTCCGATAGCATGAAATGGCTGCATCACTGTGTGGATTACGTGTGATTTCATCCTGTGGGGAAGAAGAAAGCATTCACAGTGGAGCAAAGACTTCCACAATGACACAATGCCCTGTAGGACAGCCAGGGTCACACCTGTGGAATGCTATAAGAAAAGGTGAAGGAGCAAGCTCTTTGCTTCAGAAAGAAGGAAAGGAATAAGCTACAATAACATGTTGCTTCATCTGGGCCAGGAAGTTCAAACATAAGGAGGAAGAGTAATTAATTTCTACAGCAGAGCTCAGAGAGTTTACTATAAACTCTCAGATGGGCAGAAATAAAAGCTTGTCCTGAATTCTCCCATTCTGAAAGAAGGTAGCATCGAGCATAATATCAGAAAGAGCAGTCTGATGGAAATGAGCACTGCTGCATATTTTTCTGGCCAAGAGAAGGGTGTGTAGTACGTCACGGCTTGGCATGTGGCAGAAGGTCAGAGCTGATTCTGAGAACCCAGTAACAATAGAGTCATCATGGACCAGGTGCTTCCGGGATTGATCTTGCAATTTGGCTGTTTCCAATTAAATGTGAAGCAGCTGTGGCCCTTTATCTGCTCAAGTCACTGGAATTCATCTGAGGGGAAACTTTCTCCCATCTCCTCCTCTGTCCTCACTCTGAGCATGAAGCTCTGCCTTCTGAAGACAGAGAGGGGCAGGGACGGCCAGTTGGCAGAAGCCCCACAAAAAAAAAGTTGCCTTTCTTATCTCAGGGCAGAGCAATGAGATACTGATTCAGCCGTTCTTTTTCCAGTGTCTGTATTTGGGGACAAAGAGGACAGCCAGCAAAATAAGAAGCAAATATGAATGCTGTTAAAGTTGTCAGGCAATCAGATTCGGGACACTTTCCCTCAGGCAACAAAATAAACAAATGAAGCCAATGTGAGGATAAGTTCTCAAGTGTCTATGGCACTGTTCTGCAAGCTATGTACAACAGGGTTCCTTCTACAGAAAGCGATCGAGGTTTAAAGAAGGCATTTTCAATAGTAAGCTGGTGGGACTCTAGAAAAGGCTCAGGAAGGTCAACACTGGGCCACCAAGCAGATCAATGGGAGCTAAGGGATTTCAGAAATCCAGTCAGTGAGAGCTCCCAAATAGCTCCACACCAGCTATATATAGTTTATATGAACTTTTCTCTGCCAGTTCATTGATTCCAGAGCCATCACATCCCTCCATGTCTTGGTGTCTCTTCTAGCCTGCTAAGGTCTCACTTTACTTTTCCCCAGTACCTTAAGAAAGGGAGAACCTGGCTCAAATTTGTGCTTGTCACTATACAACAGAAATCTGAGACTCCAGGTAGTCATTTTGGTTGGCTTAAAGAGCAGACATTTTACAATCCATGCTTAGCATTTTGGACAGAAGCAGCCAATAATCTTCGGCCTTTACCCAGCCTATATGTAACTGAAAGCATAAACAGCTTTGGTCTTTGTCCTATTCCACTCTTCCCAAGGCTTTTCTGACACACAGGAACAGCACTAGCTACTTTCTAATGTTACTAACTAAACTAAAAAACCTAGTTAGTTACTTTCTAAAATGATTATCTCTTGTCCTTTCTGAAACTGAAATGGATGGCAGAGCTTAAATGTCATATCAAACTCCCCCATCTATTTTTGGTACCAACGCTTCATTATTACCGAACAATAAAGATCAGACTACTAATAATTACAACAATAATAATAACAATCATACTGTTCTAGGAACAGAGATATTAAACAAAAATAATATTTGCTTTTTTGGCAAGGCAGCATTTGTAGTAAGTAGGATATAGCACGAGTGTTTTGCTAAAGTTACTTTCATCATTTCAAGTAATGGGGCTTCTGACTTAACCTAAGAAAGATTGTCCTGCAAATTACTGTTAAGAAATCATTGATATTCAGCCAAAACCACTCTCAGTTTCAATATGATATACCTCCAAATGTTCCTGTGTGCCAGCTCAAATTGTGCCTCTTCATCCTTCTGCGCACAATCCATTCACAACAATCCTTTTCTGAATTCCCTTGGCCAAAACATAACCATGCAGCTGCTTCAGTTTTTTCCAACCCTTGCATTTTTTCCATGTGCTATCCACTCCCACCAATCTCTACATTACAGTCCATCTGATCTTCCCTGAACACTATCCAATTTTTCAATTGTCAGTGCCAGAATGCAATGCAGTGGGCTTGACTCCCTTATACAACTTACTTGGAAGTAAAGCAGAAATGTCTCTTTCAGGTTTCAGCAGAGGTGAGAAATACCTCTTATTTCACGTATGGCTCCACAAGAATAAAGATGAAGACACCTGCACCTCTACAATCCATAATCCTGGGAGTCTCTTTCTTTCTAAAGGCAGCAAGCTGTTTCCTATGAAAATATTTAAATTATCTTGATTTAAACTTCCTATAATCTTCTACTGTTTCTGCGCCTTGAGTAATGCAATTTAGTGGCAACTCTAGATTTCTTTACTGTTTGATTTATTTTTTTTCTGTATTCTCATCTAAGATTGTCTGATCTGCCTGGATCATCAGACTATAAGAAAACACACAGAGGATCTAATCTTTATGAAGTACAACCATATAATCTCTCTCAACTCAATTCAGTACTCACACACTACAGTATACCCTTTAATAGTTTTGTATGTTCAACGTTCAGAACAGGCCCCACTAGAATTAGGGTATTAGTCCAGACAAAAGGACCAACCTGCCCAATGCTCTGATCTGGAGCTGGGAACAGAAGATACCAAGCGTAGGATAATTCAACTGAGGACATATCATCGTTCCAGGCAGCAGTACAAGTCAACTTGCTTTCAATGACGTTTCCCCCAGGGAGTGACAATTTTAGGGAAGACGTCATGAACAAGAGACACTGCTGCCAAAGTAGGGGAATGCATACACAGAGGTACCCCGTATTGCAAAGCAGTCAACGTTAAGCAGTGGCTCTGTTTCAAGTTTCCTGCCCCATCATGTTATTTCAAGTCTGTGATGATGTGTATAGACATATCCTAAGACCATAATGAGGAGAGACTGTTCTTGGACATCTCTCACACTACTGTATCTTTCTTTCTTCTCAGCCAATAAATTAATGGTTTCACAACTTCCAGTTGTAATATTTTTCATGGGAAGATGACACTTTCAACTAAATGAAAATTGCTGAGGAAAGTGCCTGCTTCCCTGAGACGAAAGTTTCTTTGTCAGAAACCTAGGAATAGTATACCTCAGTTGTTGGGGAACAGATTGCCTGGGCTTTCTTTTTTTGCTGTATTTTTAGACACAGGCATTTCTGTTGATTTTAGCCAAAATTTCCAGCTCCAGTCAGTTACAGTGTTTACTGCTCTCCCCTGTGCCATGTTGACTTTTCTCCCTCTGCCAAAGTGCTTCTTAAACCTCCTCTGAATATATGTTCTTCCTTGTGTTTGATAACTTTTTCTTCCTCTTTTCCCCAGTTATGTAAGACTGTGCTTTTATTGCTCAACATATTCCAAGAAGCATTTAGGATAAACGCTCTGTCAAAGACACTTATGTACAGTTGAGCTATATTATACTCTATATGAATCATTGCAGATATTTCACAAACAAGGTTAAATCAGCCAGATTTTCCAACTATATTAAACATAGCTTTTTCAGACATGGTCTACTAGCTCTGCGATTAATTCTCCATATTGAAACTCACCTCATATTTGGACCATGTCATGTCTGCTCACCAGAGACAGGAGCATGCTGCTAACACTTTCTCCTAATGAGGATACCAATCCTATGACAGAGCAATATCGGCCAATTTTTATCTGCAGAATGCAGAGGAAAGGCTAACTTTGCAAAGCTAGATGGTCTGTCACCATCCCTCCCAGTTTTATTGTCTACGGCATCTTTAGACAGAGAACTCACCTAAATGGCCAGGAAAGAGAAAAGTCTAGGGGAGGAAGGAAGTCTGTTTCACCAACTGAGGACATTTTTTGTCGCAATTTTATGTCATATTTTATCTTCTACTAATGAAGATTGCCAAGAGCCTGGTAATCAATCGTTCTTGCCTGCTTTACTTGATCAGATAGATAGAGAAGTTCAGGGAATAGTGAATTGCTTTTTACTACCCACCACACTTTTCCAGGTGCATTTGCTACATTAAATCTGGTCCTTCAGGCAAAACTGAAATTCCACCTGAAGAAGATGACCTGACAGAGAGGCTTGAAAAATGAAGTTGGTGGCAGTCTACTGCCCTGCAATGGAGAAGCAACTAAAATCCCATGGAAAGAAAAAGACAAAACATGTATGGAGAAAAATGAGCTTAACGAGATGTTTCTTGACAACAGAAAGAAACTGTGGCACTTCTGATCTCGTATAGTGAAGCAGCTGTGACATGATGGATGTCCCCAAGTGAAAAAAACAGCCAGTGAGGCTCCATATGTTTCCAAACTCACACAACTGACGCTTTACAATGCACTTTTTGTCTGGAACTTTGGTGGGAAAGGGAGGTTCCTCACCCACCTCCTACACTAATGCAATAATCTTGCTTAACCATAGAAACAGGGAGAGAAAAAAAGAAGAGGAGAGAAAGTGATTTATAATCTGTGCGCAGCTGCTTACTTTCCAATTGGTTGTCCAGGAGGGGTGTGCTCCACTTCAAATCCTGCTTGTCTCAGTACATCAATCACAGTGTTGTTACCCAGGAAGTGACCTAAAATACAGGTAGAAAATAGCACTGTCAATCAAACTGCTCCTCTCACTCATTTGACCTTCTCCTGTTGGAAAACAGGTTTGGGAGGCAAGGTTACCAGAAGCTAGACCAGCTCCAAAAGCAAGAATGGCACGTTATGCAATTTGTTGTAATTCAGACTCAGCTATTCACCATGTAGCCCACTTCAGCCTTTGGCAATGGCCAGAGGAAGAGACAGCGTACAGCCTGATATGGTCATCTTCCATCTTTTTTATCCCTCCCTCTCCTCACACAGGCAAGGGACTGGGTGGATAAAAGAAAATGATGAATTACTAGTCTCGTCTTCCACTGTGGCCATTTTTAGTATGTGCACAGACTAAATATTGGTAGCGGAATGACCCTGCAGTGGCAAAAAATAATATTACTAGGGCTTTGACTCATGAATTGGAACAATTTACAAGCCGAGATATCCACCCTGCCCATCACTGTTTATGGACATCTGCTTATGAAGAAACTCTGAAGCTGCTATACTGCACACTCAGTGCTTATCTACCTAAAATGGCAGTGATTCAGGAATCGCTTCATCAACTGTTCAGCCACCTGCACAGCAGGGTTGGGAGGAGCTGGGATGGTAACCTTATCTCTCCCAAAATGTGAAGATTTAGTCCTGTAAATCGGGGCTCTTCGCTAGAAGTGTAAAGGTCACATTCCTATTCACAGAAGTAACAAAAAGCCCAATAAGTATTGCAGCATGTACAGGCCTTGAAAGAGTTTACTTAAGAGAGTCCTATACACTTGAGGTCTGAACCAAATCCCACTGGAGTCAACAGGAGCCCTCAAAGGGCTTTGGGTACAGACTCAATGAGGCAGTGTAATCTCTCCAAAGCTTTCAACTTATTGTCAGTCCCACATTGTTTTCAGGATGGGTTAGACGTATAAAGTAAGGAGGCAAGAAGTCCACTAACAGGTTTATTAAAATCCACGTAGCCCAGTAAGCTGTCTCAAACTGTAGCCTGTGGTGAATGTTAAAGGTATATAAATATATACATGAATGACACTGAGAAAGGACAGAACAATCCTCCTCCATTATGTCCATTAGCTTCCACCTTTGCACAGCTGGGTGACTCCCATTTACACCCAGGTCATTGCATCTCACTGCCAGCTCTGAATAGACCAATTCACCATGAATGTGCTCAAGCCTCTGCCTCCATGTACTTTTTGCCCCGTGACATCTTGCAGCAGGGAGTTCCACCACGTGCCGTGTGTAAGAACGCAATCCTCTGGTTTGCTGCTGCTTGGAGAGCACGTGCTTGCCTTAAGCACAGTGTAAGGGTTTGCAGGAGATGTTTGAAACTGCCTGGCTCCACAGAAGAGATAAATGCTTTGCACAGAAAAAACAAGGGGTGCAGGATATGCCTGAGTCTCTTTCTATGCCTGCCACTGTTTAAGGAGCTGGTGTGGCCATCAACAGACTCACCCATAGGACACTTCACCTGTAATGCACAAAGTCACTACAAATTTGAGAGCAATTCAGTCCCTAGCATTCACTAAGCCTGCATCTCTGCTCACAACTGCCAACAAGGGTGCTAATTCACGTCAGTTGTTGGAATGATGCAGTCGTACGGCTTTTAGTGCGACTTGCAAGCACTGGTAAGAGCTTTTAGCCAAAAGACATTTCTTTAAATGATTAAACGTACATTTGCAGAGCCCTAGCGTGTTCCAGGATTCCTCTACTTCCTTTTAAGCAAACTCAAAATTTGATTTTCCCCTAACTTACTTATAACAAAAGCCAAAGGAGCAGACAGCAGTCCCAAAAATGTGTTACACACCCTCAGAGATTCAAGAAATGAGACATTTGTGAGTGATTAACTGGATTTGATCATATCCTGGTTTTTTATGCAGTGGCCAAGGCAAACAAAGGTCCTCATTCTGTCACTGGCAAAGTGACACTGAGAAACTTAAGTCAAAGGTATCAAAGTCAAAGATGTTTCTGAGCCCATGGTACAACGCTCTACTTTCCCTAAACCAGAGTCCTAAATGCCAAGAGATTTCTTAATGTAAACAATCATCCTGAATCCAGCAAATATTTGACATCATGACAGCACAAAAGAACTCAATTTTAACTGCTTTAAACCCAGAAAAAAAAAGTAACTACGCAACAGCTCTGATTCTTTATCCACAAAATGGTAGGACTGTCAACAATGTCAGCTCCTCAGCAAAGCCTGCGAGTCACTTCAACTGATGGATAAAGACAAAAGGTGATACCTCCTGCACTTCCCATTCCTGACGTCTATGTGGAGATCATCATGAAAGCTGCTAGGTCATTGGACTGGTGATCTGCTGTGCAGGATGGCAGCTTATGGCATGTAATGAAAACTAATTTAACCTGTATATTAGAGACAATTCAGCTCAGCATCAGTGAAAAACATCAAATCCCTGCCTCTAGCTGCCCATATGTGCAAACAGAATATGTAATAATTACCAGATTTTTTTATAACATTAGTGGATTTAATTTTTATTTATAGATATCAAAAGAACTTTATATATACGTGTGTGTGTGCTTCTGCTAAAAACTTAAAAAAACTTCTCTGCCTGGCCTGGAAATTTTCATGAAAAAAAAAAATCATGAAAGTATAACTATTGAAAAGTTACTGCATCTAAAGACATATCAGTCAGATTAGAGAGACGGGGGTATGCTCTTGCTTCTCTATTGGTACTCCCTCTTCAGTCTAAACCTGAATAAACTATTTCTGCACTATTAATCAAATTTACCTTGACAGCTGATGAAAACTGGATCCAAGAGGTCAGAACACCAACTGCCTCAGGAAATCCATAGAAGTATGGGAAGAGGAGAGAAAGCAGACATAAAAGATTCTCTAGATAGGGATTTGAAGTGAAAGTCCGTAGCACTCCTAACAGTTTGTGATTAAAAAAAAAAAAAGATGTGGATGCAGTCCTTCATGGGATTTCCTTGAGGACAAGAACCAGTGCTAGACACAGAGTCATTTCATAGTTTGAACACAAACACAGTGGAGTGGCTAGCGTGGCTCACTGCACTTGAGGGATGTTTCTTCATTACATTTGATGAGGCCAAGATTATTCTCCTTTTGCTCATTTTTTTTTTTTTTCCAAGACAAAGGATCTGGAGACACTGGAGGAACATGTTATACAGCATGGTTGCTAACATTAATCAAGCACCTTCCATCCCTGGTTTGCTTTTTTATTTTTAATTAAGAACTGTGCTTTGGACTACACAAAGCAGATGCACATAATGCATTTCCTTATCTCCCCAAGGTTTCATTTTTCACTGGAAGAAAGAAAGAAAGAATAAGCCATTCTGTTTTTTTACTAAAAGGTGAAAAATACATGGTTTCCTTAGAGCATGCACAAGCACATACACTGCTGAAAAAAAAAAGCATTTTCTTCCTTTCTTAGTGGAATATCCTGAGGCGGAACGCATACACTTCTCAGCCAACTCTAACAGTAACAGACATATTTTCTAATTGACCACAGAAACTAAAGCTCTCCTTTACCATTTCAGACGTTCTGGTGACCCCCATCAATAGCATACCTAAGCATAAGGTTGCATCCCTCAAAAATTAAATGAGCTTGGGTGTTCCTACATGGAAAAATATAACCTTGTTTTGAAGACAGAAGCAGGAAAAATGTTTTTAAGCAAATGTTATGTACTTTATCTAGGTCTAGAGATCTAATACAAATTACTTTGTTTCTTCGTTTCACAATTCTTTGTTCCACGGCTTAGAAGGATAAAGGGGTACAAAGGAGCAGAAGATAATTCCCTCACAAAGGACCTCCATTCTCAGAGCCTTTGAAGTTGTGCTAAAAAAGCCTTGCTAGCCCATTAGCTGACACACAGCAGAAACCTGAACTGTTTCCATGCACACTACAAGCAGAGCTATTTTCTGCACAATTAGTCATAAAAAGGGCCAATGTAAACTGTGTCGGGAGGTCTCAATTCTTTACATTCTCCACACAGCGAATCAGACATTATGTATAACGTTTTGTTGCCATTTAGACCTCGGGCTGCTTTGCAATCAGGAGGCGGCAGCCTCTATTCCTCCTTCTCTCTCAATGCTGATTTTCAAGCCTCTTGGCACCACCAGATTGTTTATAGTAGTTAGGCTTCACAAAAGTTGGCGTAGGCAAAAATGCAAATGCCGAAAGCTGCATGCTCACAGTTGGGGCAAATACTTCCTGGTTCCTTTGCTTGCTGCCTCCAAAAGTATGCCTCCATTTCTCTTCTTCTGAGAACGGCTGAATGGAATATTTTGGAAGCTGAATGATCAATGTGTCAAGAGGAGGCTATAGTAAGGAGCTGCAGCAAACAGCTCAGGCAATGAATTTTATCTGAATTTGCTAAATTCTCCATTGTAGCATTCAACTGTAATCCAACAGTCTCTGGGTAACAGCATGACTTTACTGGGGGAACCATATGAAATTCCACACTGCTGTTTCCTGCCATGACAGATGTCCCAGACCCATTATGGGGAATCAGTTTTGTGGACGAACCCTCCAAATTTTTAATCCCCTTCCACTCCTCCTCCAGCATCCCAGCTGCTTCTATCCCAGTACCCAGCCATTCCTGCCAATGCATATCATCCTTTAAAAATTGGAGGCTCTTTCACACTTTCTCATGATGACTCGCTCTATTGCTGCCAAAAGATTGCTCTTCTTTCTTCTTAAACCCCTTATTTTCCTGAAATCTCACTCTAGTGGTAGGGATTGCCTTGAAGCAGTGTCTCGTCTCGAGCATACTTTGACAAGAAGCAAACGTCGGATTTGTGCAGATTTTGCTTTTGCAAGTTGGATCTAGATGTATCTAAAAGTTTCCAGTGTAAGTACCCTCCTAATGTGAAATGTCTTATCAGAGCATAAAAAGTGACACCAGCTAATAGATTAGGTGGGTGATACGCAGCACCTAGAGATGAGCATGATGCTACGACTGCATGAAAATTTTGATTTTAGATTTTACTGATAACATGAACAAAATTAAATGCTTG